TTTGTGTCTATTTCTCTGAGATTAAGCGTTCTATTAATTTCTACCCCGTTGAAACGCGGTCTCGGGATAATTGTGAAATCACCCACGCGACCACCCTCGGTAGCAAGATTGCGTATTTCTGCCTGGCTCAAACTCATCTCAGGGGGCTGTGGGGTCGTTCGATCAGGCACCCCCGAGCCTGTCTGTGCGCTTTCATTATCGTTATGTACGGGTGTTTCCCCCAAATTTTCTTGCTCTGCTATTACATTTTGCAATAGTTCGGTCGTGGTTAGACCATTTGTGTTTATCATTCGTAACTGTTCATTTATTAAAAGACGTAAACTGTTAGTGTGACGTCTAGATCTTTCGGCTTCTTCGGCTTCAGAGTCTGAGTCTGTGCGCGCTCTTTTAGAAAGCATTTTGATATGTTTTTTATTTATTTAAATTGTGTAAAACAAAAGCATGTGTAGGACTACCATATAAACAATAACACCCCATTAACATAGGCTACTAACAACAATGACATCAATAACTAGTCATTACTAGTTTTTTAAAACAGATACAAATAATACCCATCATATTAAACAAAATAACATCACTCGTTTGAAAAAAGATCACCTTCTCATGAAGACCTCATGTAATTCCCGCAATAGTCTTTGAAGAATATTTAGTCTCTCCGAGAATAGCGACAATGCAATTGTCTGTAGCTGCAGGTCTTCCCGTGCCTGCGTAATTTCCCCACGCACTGCCAAAACCTCGCTACGTAATTGTCTGTTTTCGTTCAAAGTTTGCTCATGACAAACGCCAAAAAAATCAACAGCGCTCCTTAAATCAGTCGTATGGCGATTCTGCTGATCTATCACTCTGTGTAGAAGTGTGACAACATCGCTTTGGGACTCGTAAACAATGGCCTCGGTTTGTTGAAACGATAAAGGTTGATTAGCAACTTCTAAAATCCGTAAAAAATTCCGGTTGGTGCTACGAAGCATGTCATGGCTCAGGTTCTGGACATCACAACATCTGTATGCTGGTCTGAAACATCCTGCAGAGTCCTCAGAACACCCGCTATCTGATGAAGCCTGGTCAGAATCGAAGGCGTCCAACACCGCTTCCTGGGATTGTAAGAAAAACTCTAAACCCCTCTCGTCGTATTCTTGTGCTAGATGAAACATGATAATATGTTATTATATGAAATATTTGTTAGATGAAATATGTAAAAAAAAAAAAAAAAAAAAAAAATGCAGCTCACAATTGTCATTTGAAGAGTTCACAGCCGATTCGGATCCATGATATAAGTCTGAAAACCGTTTCCTACACGGTGTTGATGTGGACGTGCATTGTGCCTCAAAGTTTTGCTCTGGAGAATAAAAAACATTTCAATTATTATTTTAAAATTCTAGGAAATATAAAATAATGCTAGGAAATATAAAATATGATAAGGTAAAAACATCGTCGCTCACCTTCGCATGGATATTCTAACTCTTCTCCGTTGTCAGAATTATAGTCCCCATAAACCTCCCGAAGACGCTTAATCCCGCGTCCGGAACCTCTGAGACCGTCCGGAGCAAAAGATTGTGTTGTCCCGTCGCTGGATGAAGGTTCCTGATGCGTACCCCCGTCCGAACTCGTATCGCTTTCATGGGATCTGGGTGACGACCCGTAGTAGCTCGACGACCCTGGTGTTCCCCAAGGTGTGACGTTGTCGTACGACCTACTGGTCTCATCCAATGGGTCGGACGCTACGTTCGCCAATACATGCCCTGAGCATTCTAGCACGTGACTGGGGGTGCGTGATAATATGTTTTCGAAGTTATTCACTTCTGACGAATTTTCATTATAAACATGTAAAAAATCATCAGGTGAAACACCGTCTGGAAAGGACTCCACATCTAAAATCAGACAGGTGTATATTAACAACAGTAATATTTTCAATGAAATGTGTAACGTTTGGAAAAATTTTACTCACAAAGCTCGTTCAAAATTTCCATCAAATCTTCGTCAAAATATACACCCTCGGGTCCCTCTGCTGTTTCATGTTTTAAAAATGAAAGAAGAAAATTAAACATTCATTTTGTTATAATATTTTTGTAAAAAATAAGAAATAGACTACACCCTACCGTATTGACCTTCGGCCATGTTTTTTGTAGGATATCGATTCTGTAGACGATCTCGCTCGGTGTATATCGATCGAATGAACTAGTCTCTTGTCCTCGTAAGACCACCAAATTCAAAAACACATTTTCCCCTCTCAACCCCCTAAGTAAAACGACCCATCGGAAACACATCTTTCTCGAAGAAAAAAAGTTCTTTCAACTCCGCATGGGTTGATAGCTGATTTTACAACTAGAAAAACATATGGTGAATCTCACGATAGAACAGGCCAAACATCGCTGATAAAAAAACATACAATTAAATAAAATAACCCCCAGCAATAAAATAAAATCACACTTCACCAAAACTTCACAACTCCGCATGGGATCTGATAGTTGATTTTACAACAAAAAAAAAAAAAAAAAAAAAGACACATGGTGAATCTCACGATAGAACCGGCCATACATCGCTGATAAGCCATGCAATAAATAAAATCACGCTTCACCAAAACTTCAAAAGAGAAAAAAATTTAAAACAGACCCCTTACGGTTTCAAACACACCAAGGGGGGTCAGACATTATGGAGCCAATAGTATGTGATAGTGTGTGTGTGTGTGTGTGTGTGTGTGTGTGTTGGTGTCTAACGGAGACACTTAAATTCTTTGGTCTAAACATTTAATTATGCATTCATCTGCAGGATAGTCATTGTTATGCTTAAGAAACTTATAGTCCCCTGCGAAGGAGTATCCAAGTACGGAGTATCCAAAACCTATTTACATAGAGAGATATACAAATAATTATAGCATAAAAAAAAAATGAAATAAAAAATCACAAGTATTACGCTCTGAGCTCGCGCTCGTTTTTAAATCTCATATGACATCGCACCATGAGGGGGTGTGGTTTGTGTATGACGCTTGGGTCCTCCCTGTGCGATGCTTTCCCACACACGTCACTTGTGGGTGTGCCATGGGAGGAGTCAGGGTGTGGGGTAGCGTACAGACATTGTTGTCATCATTCCTGTCAGACCTCCTGAATGATCAGATGTGTTTTTTATCATGTATCCCGGAGATTACACTCTACGCTCTTTCACACGTTTGAACACAAAAACTGACTAAACTTATCTCCCTCTTTCAACGTTTTGCACAAACGATTATTTGTCTGATGACATTTTAACACTAACACTTATAAGGAATACAATTTATACTTTTAACATTTATACACTGTTTTAAAACTGATTTTGAATGTACAACAGACTTTGATAAAACAATGAACTTACCTCGTCAACCTTACGGTCAACCTTCTTAAAAAATAAATAATAAAAAATAAAATAAATAAAAAAGATTTGAAAATACATTGTTTTAATGTGTTTTCAAAATTTTTTTTAACGTTTTTACATTTTAAAATCATAAAACTTTCTCTGACACACTTCAAATCCTCACAACCCTAAGGGGAGGGGTGGCCGGAGGGGGTGAGGGAGGGGGGTGAGGGAGGGGAGACCGTGGGAAAATTCCCATGGTCCAGGTGTTCAGACCGGAAGTGGGTGGGAGGGATAAAAAGGGGCGGGGCTTAGCGTGGGAACCAATTATATGAGGGCAATAAATCACTCAAAGTGACATATTATGCCCTTATACCTCTCTCTCTCAGGGCTTTTTTTGTATCAGATCATCCCGTGAATGCTGTGTCGTTGATAGCATACTCAGGATTCATGTAGTTAATAATGTCGGGTAAAGGATTTTCCCCTTTGTTCTAGAACATTCGATGGTTTGCATTGATTATCTTTCATTTGATTATGAAATTGTAATAATTTTCCTTGACATAATAAATTGTTATATTTGATAATTCTAACAGACTAACAGGGGGTTGGGGGGGCTTAGAAGTCGCCGAGCTCAAATCAAAAGTCTGTCCCCCACCCCTGGGCAAAACCTACATTCAAATCTAAGATTTCTCAACGGATATCGGGTGAAAGAGACAAATTTACCCGTCTAGCCCCAGAGACTCCCATTCATTTTGATCGCCCCCCTCCCCCCTCCAGATACGGTAATTTCGGCCCCAGCAACGGATAAGCGGGAGAAGATGGATGGATTATGATATTATTTTTTATTTGTAAATTATATTATTTTAATATGAATTCATAGTTAATTGATTTAATTTGTATCTATTTTTATTTAAGTATGCATTGTCACAATTCATCTGTGAGACAAATCAGTTTCATTTATCAAAGCAGTACACTAAAAACAGGTTGTCAATAATGACTTTGTGAATTGAGTTTAATGAGTGTGATAAGTTTTTCTAATAAATATCTGTAGGCTACTGATTTTATACGTTCGCGTTAATTCATTGTCATTTCCACCACACCCTGTCATTTACCTCATTGACAAATGTATAATACATTGTGGAAAAACTGATAAAAATAGTTACAAAAATGATCTTAGACAATTCTTGAGTGGCATAAGTTATTCAATTTTAAAATAATGGCTGTATATTGAGATGTGGTGGAAATTACATGTTCATTGCAAGTCGGAAAAAAATGTAGGCTAAAATATTAATAATTTCTCTTCTAATCTAAGTTTGTCCTAGGACTTAGAATCTTACTGACCATAAAACTAGACAAATTATTTAAACATATGAGACTGTGTTACGTGAGTCACTTTTGAACACTTTTTTTTTATTCAACTTCACAAGGCTAAAAGTTCCCCTAGTTGAAGAAACACCCAATTACGGTAATTATCACGGCTTAGCATTGAGCACACCTGAACCACTCAGGGTATTTAAGATCACGCCACTAAGCTACAGGTTGGAGTCGCCCCAAAACAAGAGGCCATTGTGTGATCGTAGGTCTCAGAATGACAGCGGGACTTTACTGCTCGTTGCTCGCTCTTGTATTGTGTCCCTCAGTATGCTGGAGCGTAAGAAACAACGATCTGAACGATGATCGATACACGGGTGAGTTCTTCATAACAGCGCGAAGAAAAATGTAAACAACCTTAACAAAATATGACTATGCACGTCTTAGAACGTTAGTTTATGTAACCCAGTGAGGGTTATTATTAAGTACCTTAACAGCTATTTACTGATTAAATAGGTATTAATAAGTTTTATGATTCAGATATTATTGTATAGTGTGTTCATTTGATATCTATGTACTGCCCCTTTAAGAGTTGCGCTAAACTATAAAGTTTGATTGGGATGTAGATGCTAAAACGTGTTTTTGCCCAGCAAGTTTGTTCATTTATTGGTGATTGGTTATTTTTTTACTTGTCCCCGCCTCTGTTAAAAGAGGGGAACGTCTGATTGGAGAGAGGGGAGAGAGAGTTTTTGCCGATGGAGAGAGAGAGTTCGGGGAGTTGTGAGTTTAAGTAAAATATGAGAGGAAAATAACAGTGTTAAGCTTACATCAAGTGTTGTGAAGACTTTTATTTCTTTGCTTGTGTTTATACTATGCACAAGAGGTTAAAGTAAGAATTAAGTGTTATCGGAGCCTGCTTCCCAGCGCAGCACGAAGTTTCGTTCATTATTGAGACTGAGAGTGAGAAAACAGACGGCTAACTGCGTGTTTGAAAATAGTGTTCTGAGTTTAGTGAACTGCAAAGACTGATTGTTGTCACTGAGTTAAAGCTCCGGGGTCCGGACCAGGCCGCACTCTTATCCCCGCTGACATAGTGGAGAGAACCGCGCCGCCCTGCTACTGACTGCCCGGGAGACAACAGGACGATCAGCCGTTTCTAAAAGGAGGAAAATCGCGGAGTTCATCAGCGTTCAGGTGATCAGTTGATTTATTTTGGCTCATTCGAGTGAAGAGGCCCTTTGCTGTTTTCCAGGCCACAACGCTCCCCAGCAACGTTACAGGCCTGCAACGGGGTGGGTTCCCTGCTGAAAAAAACAATAGAAACCATTACAGAATTCCTAATGGTTTTAATGGTTATAAAGAGAACTGTATTGGTTTTAATGGAAACTGTAATGGTCCTAGTGGGTCTCTATTGGTAATTTACTTTTTTCTATTGGTGGCATATTTTGTCTATTTGTCTGTATTGGTTTTAATGGAAACTGTAATGGTCCTAGTGGGTCTCTATTGGTGATTTCCTTTCTTCTATTGGTGGCATGTTTTTTCTATTGGATACCATTAAGGACCAATAGAACACCTTTGGCAACTTATAGGTTGCATGTTGGTATCTACTGGACACCAGTATGAACCATTAAGTCTCCAACAAATTGTGTGTTTTCTTTGGTTTGATGATATTAATATATAATTTGTTTGTCACTGATTTCCTGGACTGTTCCTATGTTTAAGTGACAACTTTCGCAGTAGAACTGAAATTCTATTTCCTCACAACTGTTTTTAAACACTGTTAAAAACAGTGTTAAAAACACTGTTAAAAAAGATACTTGGATCGAGGTACAACCTCTTGCCCAAACAATTTATTGATCAACTGCAGTAAATCATGAAACTCAACCAGTTATTTTATGCTTTGCTGCATGGCTCATAATCATTAGCATGGCCTAAGCTTTTGTGGTAGTTCCTGTGGCAGTCAAAGCAGTGTCCATGTCAGGCTGTAGGTCAATCACTGACAGGGGATCAGTAGTGTTCTGCTTCATGCTGCCTGTCCTATGGTCTCTCTCAGACTCTGACTCTGTTCCACTGCATGCCTTTAAAAAAGCAACATCTCTGTTTAAGGTATGGTTGTGTGTAGGTCTGCTCATACACATATTCACGTAGGTTCTAGTTTTATATATATATATATATATATATATATATATATATATATATATATATATATATATATATATATATAGGATAATGTCACAAATAATGTATTTTATAATATTTAAATGTATCTTTGTTTGAACACTAGGCTACTGTTTAACAACAGTACACAATATGTAGCACACTGCTACAAGCTATTCAAAATGCTTTTCTTAAAGTCTTTAAATAACCTTTTAAAAATAGGCTCTACAAAAAATAAAATGACAAAGAAATATGAAACTTATGACCACTGTCTCACCTGTTTCACTGTAATACTTTTATTTAACAGGTATATGTTGTGTGAAGACTTTTATTTTGATATCCGATGAGAATTCTTCTCCTTTTCTCTGGGTTTTAATTTATTTATTTATTTGTCTATTAAAAATCAAAAGTTATTCTTCAATAAGTATGTCAGACTTTGCTGGATCACCTCCACCGTATGTAGGCTACTAAAGTTTTTCTTTTTCTTTTTTAATAATCAAATTTATTCAAATAATCGGGACAAACCTACTGGATAATAAGCTTGATAGCCTCACGTTACCCGTTACATTGGCTGTTTGGCTCTCTTCCTCGTCAACATCAACACCTGGCCTCCCTGCTGAAAAATCCAGCTAAAACCAACCTAAGCTGGTTGGCTGGTTTAAGATGGAAGTAGCTGGTTTTAGTTGGTCTCCCAGCCTGGCCAAGCTGATGAACATCATATATATATATTAGGGCTGTCAAATGATTAATCGTGATTAATCACATCCAAAATAAAAGTTTTTTTTTTACATAATATATGTGGGTGCACTGTGTATAATTATATATATATATATATATAAATACACACACATGCTTGTATATATTTAAGAAATATTTTCATGTATATACTGTATATAGATTTATATATAATTTATATTATATATAAATATAAATATTTTATATATACAAAATAATTATACACAGTGCACCCACATATATTATGTAAAAAAAAACCTTTTATTTTGGATGTGATTAATCGTGATTAATCATTTGACAGCCCTAATATATATATATATATAATTATTGGAACCCAGATTTTTTTGTTGTTGTTGCCATTTAGTTATATAATATAACGCAATTATTAGTATTGTAACAAAACCTGGCATATAAACTGGGTTCTGGCATTTTGCACATGAATGGGTCATAGAATTACACAATGAGTTTAAAATTCATGATTTAATATTAATGGTATTTTAAATGATGTTATATATTTTAATTCTAGATGTTTATTTAAGTTCTGCGTGACTTTTAAGTGTTTTAATGCGCGTGCGCGTGAACATTCGAGTCGCATTCAAACACTGGAGCGAGCGCGCTGCGCGAGAGCAGAAGATGGAAACGGGGAAGAAACGTCATCAACTGACAAACAGCAAAACTTGCCTCTCTCGCTTTTGTTTTCACTGCTTTCAGGTGAGTTTATAACAAATTCACACAAATAATACATACAAACGTCCCTGACACCTTTATTACGTGTAATTGACACGCTTCTGTTGAACATTTACTTTATAGAAATGGTTTTGTGTCTTCAAAAAAGTCCGTTAGCATCTCAACCGTTTTCAGAAGAGTTAACGTTAGGCCTAACGTTAATTTACGTTAAGTTTAAGGCTAATTGGTGCTTTTGTTTATGAAAATTTGTGGTTTTAACCACATCTTTGTGTAGATAAGAATTTTTGATAGTTTTGTTTTGCTGGTAATTTGTCAATGGGTGATTGTTAGTATGCTAATTTATTTAACCTAATAGTATGCACATACTGTTAATCAGTGACGTCACTTACAAATAGTGATAAAAAAAAAAAGTGATTTCAGGAGCATCAGAAAAAAACCCTCTACAACAAAGGGTGAATTATTGATTAATCATGATACTTATTTCATATGCATTTATTTCACAATACATTATCTTAAGAATTATATATATATATAATATAATTTTTTTTTTTTTTTTTTTTTTGAATTTATATCCCCAATGCAATATCAGGGGGTAAAGATACCATTAGAGTTCTTAAACTTATCGCTATGCTCTTGTTATCAGATGAGACATAATCCCCAACGTTTGGCCCTGTGATTCTTCAGGACAAGACCTTGATCCCATCTACACTCAGTACATGAAGAAGGTGAGTTTCACAATAGCTGCCACTATCACATATCAAGAGACCGAACACAACAGGATTTCATCCATATGAACACACCCATATGTAGGCATGGGTACTGAAACCCGGTATTAAATGGGTCCTGGGGCCAAATTATGGAAGACCGCAGTATCGATAAGCTTGGACATTATCAGTTCTGCTGACGGTACTGAAGAAATTACACGCACTATTTATTAAATATATTGTCTCAATTTTCCTTCATGATTTATTTTCAGACATCATGAGAATTATGTTATACTTGGTATTTTAACGCGACATGTTATAACAAGAATATCTATGGCAAGAGCTCTTTTCAGTCGCTGCTTTCTTTTCCTCGTGATCCTTTTCTTTTCTTTTTTCCCCTTTGCAATCTGCTGTAAGAGTATGAAAAAGGACAACATATGCTGCACATTTGTGGTCTGTTCTCCCGAATTTAATTTACGATATATTCCTTGGAGCTTGGAGAGTATTCACTTAAACACAGTTTATGTCTTAAGTTTAAGCTTGTTGAATAATATGTCAAAAGAAATGCAATGGTCAGGATTATTGAGGGCATTTTTCTATGACAGCAGACACATGAGATGATGGCTGAAGTGAGTCAGTGAAGGAGAAGATCAAGATCTGGAGGAGGACATGCAGTTTACACTTCAGGAGAAAGACACAGATGAGCTCCAGGGCAGATTCAGCAATCATAAAGGTGAGTTCAGTGTTTCCATGCTTAAGTGACACTGTTTAACCTGTTAAGCTTCAAGCCCACTATTGAAAAATCCCCAGAAATGACATACCCAAACTAAAACAGATACAGTTCATGAACCCTTTGCACTAAAAGCACAAGTATGATCTCATTTAAAAGCTGACACTTGGTTGTTTATTGTAAATGTAGAATTAATTATTGTCATAATGAAAAAAACAATTTTAAATAGCTTCAAAGTTTTGTAAAGTTATTAGAAATTTATTTTTATGAAACATCTTCATGAAAATAAAATTGAAGTTGGCCCTGGAGCAATCTAGAAATGCACTGCAGCTAAAGCCACATGTCTGACCATTTTATATTTAAA